GTGATATGATCCAATTAGATAACACTACCCCAGCTAGACAGCTTAACATCCTCCCAACACCTTTATATAGGTTCATAGAGAATGAGGTATATCTACTTGAAACATGGCCTGGAAATCATAGAATGTTACTAGAGACAATAAAGGCCACCAACTTCAGTCACATTGGCTTAAAAGGGGATAAAATAGGTCAAGAACATCAGAGAGACAACTAGGCTAAAAAGAAGATGGCTCACTCACTGTCTCATTTAGTCACTTCCCTCCTTCAGCCCCCACAAGGACGACATGGCGGTATTCTAAACTCATATCAGGATGGATTTGCAAGAGGCAAAAATACACCCACATGCAAGTGTCACCCCTGTGAGGTCTGCTGCAGCTGTGGTTTGGCCCCTGCCTACTTCAAGCCTAGGGAGAAGAGGTTCCTCTTCCATCATAGGCAAAGTTTACAGAGTCAAGAGGTCTTGAGATTTAACCAGTTGAGTATATGCCAAAGATATTCTTAGGAACTATGTGTTGTCTCCCCAAGGCTATGCAGAGAGAAAGAACTGGGGTGGAATCAACGCAGATAAAGCAATAATAATTTGAGACATAATGCGCACTAGAAGCCCCTAAAACGAAACTGTAAGCATTATTGTAATTTTTCCGTATAAATGACACTGAGGAAATGGCTGCAAATGGCTGTTAAGATGAGGTGGACTTATTTGGCAACAGTTACTCATAGTTTACACATATGAATATCAATCAATGCAGTTTCTCAGCCAAATAAGCTGATTAGAAGAAATGTCCAACAACACTGGAAATTTTAACAAAACACTATCAAAAAATATATAATATATTTGTAGCTGTAGGGGTAGGCAGTTTTCCCTGATTTTCCTCTTTTATGCTCTTATATCTATCTTTTTTATATTAAATACATTTTCGAGCACATGTTTTTTTCTGTTTAATCAACTTGATTACATCCTAGATGGCACTTTTGATGTGAGAATCCCTGAGGTAGTGCTGCAATTTTGTCAATAATAGCGCTACCAATTCTGATAAAGTAAATAGACTCTTTCCAAACATAGGACAGTACGTCTCGCAAACCAACACAGCAATACCTTGTGCAAACTTAAAAAAACAGTGACAAGTTAAGCCCTGGGTGATGACAGCAGCATTGTGTTGTCATTCGACAATGAGCGACATGACCTGGTGTGCAACACAATCCCATCCTATACCCAAGATCTGTGGCAGTAATATAGCGTAGGAGTCAGCGTCGTAGAGCAGACCTCTTTAGTAATTTGGATTAAGCAGATTACCCATGATAATACATTTAAGAATAACTTTCCACGGCAGGGCTTCCTGAGGACTGGCAGGCTTAGTCCTGTAGTGTACCGCTGACCCTGTTTCAGTCATACCTTGAAAACCTCTCAACATATATTCCACAACACGCACAAAAAGTACCAGGCCTGTTATAATGTTTAAACTGTTTAAGTATTCTCAGTGTAATACTGATGCCTCTACATGACCTACAAACAAGAATGAGAAGCTGACAATTTCTATATAGTTATTCTTCATGCCTGCCACCAGGTCGGAGTCGGTCGGATTACACACAAAATCAGACGAAACAAGGCTCTGGAAACACTACTACTTTTGTCCACAGGGGCCAACAGAATCAACACAAAATTAAAGTTCCTTGTAGCTGCTTTAATATTTGACTCATTCTGAAAAATTATTTTGCCTCTCAAGCGCCAAACTTTTCCTCCAAACATAGAGCATAAACCAAAAAAAAGTATTATATAAGATTTTTGCTTAACCGTTTGTTAACAGTTTTCATTATATAACATAAAGGCATGTTTGCCTTATACTTTTATATTACTACTAACCATTATATTCTTATTATGTGTCTGAGTGGAATCTGTGCCAAAGAGCATGCATTCCTCCAGACTCTCAATAGACTACAGCTGAGGACAAACCCATAAAAAATATGTTGCTGAACTAAAACCCATACCATCATCTGAACATATTAGCCTTTACTTTTTTTTTTTAAACCACAAACTCAGGCTAATAAGCAAGATACAAATAAAGCCTTTCAGTGGCCTGGAGATTATGCAAAAAATAAATAAGACGAAGGACATAAAGAAGCCATAGTACAGAATGTACTAGATAAACACCATGGGTGAACTGGGTAACAAGGTTTTAACTCCTAACATTCAGTGGCTACAAATCCGGAAATTGTTTTTCATTTCACATTCATTGCATGTTCCAGGACACTCCCACGTCAGAAAAAAACAAAAGTGTGAAATAAGTCTTAAAGCAACATTGGTTTTTGGCATATTAAGAATGGGTGGAGTAAGTGGTGTAAGAGTTTGAAGCCTGCTTGCTTTCTTTCAGTCCCAGGCCTCAGAGTGGAAGGTGCATGAGTTTCCTTATACAGCCCGAGCCTTGTACCAGCATCAAAATGAGCCCCGAGGACAAAGCCCTCTCGGGCTGTTGGCTCCCCGGAATCTAGCCACTTGGCTGGCCAGGCCTCCTGATTTGGCAGGCCTGGACAGAGAGGGAACTCCTGATAAATATCCGGCCCCAAAAGCAGTGCAGACGGTACTTGAAAACCAGGCCATGCTGCACTCTACTCTTAGCATCTTTCAGATGGCAACAATTTCCTAAGAAGCACAATAATGACCGAGCTCTTCAGGTGAACAATTTCTATATTCCGCATCGAACTCAAGTGTAATTTACAACAAATGTAACCAGTGTTTTCCTTGAGTGAGTGCTAGTGCTGGTGCTTGGCAAAATGGCTGAAAATGTTAGAATGATACAACATTTATATCAAGTGATACTATTTGTTTATAACTAACTGTATAAGCTATATAAGTGCAAAGGTTACTAAACTTGAAGATTGTTTAACAGCTGTGTGACACATTAACTTTAGACACACAAATTAAGAAAAATAAAAGCTATACTAGCAGTCTTCCCTTGTATTACATTGGGACCACTTTTAGATTATATAACTATTTACTCTCTAATGAGGGTACCTATTAACCAGAAAGTTTCAGTGATTACACGTAATTAAAAATAATCTACCTTAGCATGATAAGTAGGACAATTGGAAGATGGTTGTGTCTGAATGGTTAAACTGTACTGATAACAAACTGATAATTCACCACTAGCTCATTATCAGAACTCCGGTAATAAACTACACAGAAAGTAGCAAAGTACACAGTGGGGCCTCTGACTATACTGGAAAACATTAACAAATAGGTTAAAAAAAAATAATTAGTGCTCTTCTTGATCAGGTTGTAGCAAGGGAACCTGAGAGCACAGTACATATTGAATCAAGACACCCTAGATTAGAGTTTATCTACAGATAGACCTCCAGGAAAACTGTCAAAGATGCAACCAAGATAGAACTGACACAATACCACAAGAGAGGGGGGAAACTCAGGAATATATTAATGTACTATAAGCCTTACTTTCTAAAAGTGGGGCCAGTTACAGTCATACATAATCATGTCTTCAGTCACCACCTCATTGCAAATGTAGTAGGGTTACAAACACATGTCGTTTTTATATACCAAAATAAGTTACAACAGATCGACTTGTCTTTAAAGGTGATATCCAGTAAGTCACCTAACCATTCAACAAGAGCAGCTGACTATGGTTGAGTACCAAATGTCCCAGCATGCTAGGTCATGTCTGATCGTCGGCCTTGTTCAGACTACTGAACCAAGATACGCAATGGCAGCTGTTCTCACACCAAGTAAAGACGACACAGCCAGCCTTGATGATACAGCCTGTAATCAAAGAAAAAGCAGAACTGATCCGGCGTCAATCGCTCTTGCTAACTTAGCTCATAAGCCACACGTTATATTAAAATAAGCCATAAAAAGAGAAAGAAGAGGGACACATGTCGACGTCCAGCTCACTTCATCAACATGACTAGCAAGAAAAAAGTGTTTATTTTAACAGTGGGGGCTCACTAGTACCCTGACCGTGGCTACAAGTAGTTCCTTTAATAGTTAAATCCAAACAAGAAGAGGCTTGTCGCCACTCAAGTTCGCCCCGCTGAGTGCTCGAGCTCAGCTCTATGAATGAGCTAGCTAACATTAACGCTAGCCAACTAACGTGAGGCAGGTACTAACTACCGTTGGCCGGCCAACACAATTATTAGTACAGAGTAAGTATTCAACAATAAAAGTCACTGGCTAAAGTGCTAACAGGAACACCAAAGTTTGTTTCTGTTTCACACTCAACGCGTCTGGAGGCGTGGACCTCTGCCCCCACGGGCCTAGTGTTGCTGGTGACCCAGCCTCCCTCTCTCCTGAAATCTCTGACCCGGTCTGCTGCCTCATTCTTCCGTTAGAGTCCTGAGGGCCGTTCCCAGGCCTGGGTAAAGAGCTTAGCTGTGCTAAGACCGGGACTAGCGGCTTTTTTTTGACAATAAATAAACACAGTATCGCCGAAAACAGCTGCTCACAGCATACCTGTAGCTTCAGTGTGTTGTTGCCTTAGCAAGTGGTGAAATGGCGTTGTTCTGCGTTGACTCTGGCAGACTCCTGACTTCCCGGAGCAGCTCCAGCCTGGCTTTCTTCTGCGCTATCCGTCAGACTATCTCCTGTTTCTGGTTAGCGGGGGGCGGGTCATAGGCAGACTGCTGGGACGCTTGTTTTGTTACTCGCCGCACACCGTCCGGAGCCGTTATTAAATAGTGAGACAAGAGTGCCCCGCCTTTTTGAGACAGCCCTGCGACATAAACCTCACCATCGACAAAAGCAAGGAGGGGAGTGGTCATTGCACTTCCCCCAAGTCCATAAGACACATGAGTACAAGAAGTACTTTCATATTTCTATTAGGACTTCCTGTATATATGTGGTATTCAGTTATTTAAACACATTTATTTTATTTTCATTTCTAATGGTGTCAAGAGAGTGTTTCTTCAGGGATTTATCACATATTTTGACTCATTATTTACATGCCATTTCCAAAGTTAAGATATTGTGTCAAAAAGAAACCAATGGACTCTGGAATTCAAATAAATCAATTTATTGTCAAATAAACTAAGGTAGAAATAACAATATGCCCAGTAATGCTCATCAGACACTGATCAGTATATCACTGCCCCTCCCCACTAAGGCTGAGTCAGTCATTCCTCCTCTGTATCAATGGACGCTGGCTGCCCTGCTGCCTGCAGCTCTGCCTCATACTGCTTCTTCAGGCCCTTCAGATACATACGCAAGCTGTCTGGGTCCAGTCTGGAGTTCCTGGCAGCCTGGAGGAGGCGGGTAGCAAGGTGGTACACAGCTCTCTGCCTCTGTGTTTCTGGATCACTGTGATGTTTGGCCTAGAGCAATAATAAACCACACCATGGGTCTTGTCTCTTCTTCCAGCACTTCTCTGATATAAACCAAGATTATTTATGGGAGACAACGAGATTTGTGCTATTTGTTATGAGAGGCCACGGCACAGCATTTGACTCTCCGAGGGTCTAATATTGGTCTCTTGTAAACAAGTTTGTTTTACTGTTGCACACAATATGGGACCAGCTAAAATGTTCTGTTCTGACTAAAGGCAAAAATCTGATGTTCATGAACCATACCAAAAGGTGCTGGCTAACTTTGGAGGCCATTTTCTTTGCCTCTTGGATTATGTTTGAAGGAAGTGCAGTCATTTCTGCTGCTCTCAGACCTAGAGGAGCAAAAACAAGCTCTGCAACAATTTTCATGCCCAATTTCAACAGGATTGTATTCACGTCAGATTCCACAGACTCCGTACCATAGTGACTTTCTTCAGAGCATCCTCGATTCAGCACGTATGTGTACACCACACCCTCAGCACCTGTGTCACTGCTGCGTGTGTGCTGTACCTCCATGTGCTGGTTCTCCACATTAGGATAAAGAGACTCTAGTTGGCACAGCTCAAGAAAGTGTGTGGCAAACAGGGTGAACGCCTACAGAAAGCAAAGGTAACAACACACACCAACACCTAACCACTGGAAAACGTACGCTGTTCCTGTATTTATTTTACTACTTTACTGTTGACCTAAGAGGTGTACCATAATTACAAGGTAAATGATTAATACAAACCATAAGAATCTGATTAATCTGGTTTTCACTGAACAGAAAGGAGTGGTAGTGCAGGACTGTATTGGAGCATACTCTACCTTGAGGCTAAGGAGCACCTCACAAACTGAGTGACAGATGCCGATGCCTTCCTCAGCACTGGTACCACGCCCCAACTCATCTATTATGATCAGGGACCTGTCACTTACGTTGTGGATTATGTAAGAGATCTTTGGGGAGAAAATATACAGTCATGATATTTCAATGTTTGTTTTCCCCTCATAAATGTAACGAATGTGGGCAGCCCCTGATGTACATACTTCTTTCATTTCCAACATGAAAGTGGAAGAGTTAGTTTCAAAATCATCATCCACACCAATTCTGGTGAAAATCTGATCAGCAACACAAACAGAGGCATACTCCGCAGGGACAAAGGAGCCTGGAACAATAATGCAAGGGCTTAACTCAAAATATCAAGTCAAATCAAAGCATAGCACTGCACAGCTTTGGACTCCAAATTCATGTGATGCTGAACAGTTTTGCTGACCTATCTGAGCCATGATCTGACACAGTGCCACCTGTTTGAGGTAGGTGGATTTGCCGCTCATGTTGGGTCCAGTGATGATGACAAAGTTGCTGCCCTCGGAGATGTAGCTATTGTTCGATACAGGCCGCTGTCCAGCCATTCGCTCTAGAATGGGGTGACGACCCTGCTTGATGGCCAGTGTGTCTGTGAACTCTGGGCGCACTGGCAGACACAGCAGAAAAAAAGCGACATTTAAAAATACCTCAGTTTGTTGGTATTTCGTTTGTATGGTAACTCACTTTCATGCATTTCCATGGGATGACGCATTTAAATACAGCTACACTGTAGGAGTTAGTATTTGCCTATTTTGTTACAAACCTACATAGCCAGTAAACCATCACTCAGTGATTACCAATACTGTGTACATTTCATAACAAAAGATAGGTATATGACTTTTAATTAAATTCTTAGGTAATAAATTGCTGATAGGTGAACTGAAAGGTGTATTACAATATAATTAAAAAACAGATTTCTGAGAGAAGTGTGTGCAGTGGTTATAGCCAGCTAGCTCCTCTGCTGGGAAGATTTGTCTCGGTAAATGCAGCGCACCAGTGCACACTTATGTAACAAGGGTAATCTGAGTACAAGCTGGCTGGGATATAAGGGGGCAGGCACTCAGCACATGTCTATGGAGCTACGCTTTCAGACAGCTGAGCGCCAGCGCTCACCACCCACGTGGCTGACCAGGCTGCCGCTGCCCACAACCCTCGCAAAAAAAAAGAAAAGAAAAAAAGATGAGGCAAACAGAGCTGACAGCTCAGAGGGACAGTTTCTTGCTGTGATGTGTGACGTTGGCTGGGTGCTGCCTTATGTCCACACAGCCCTCTCTCAGACAACATCAGACTTTTCCAGATTAATTTGACAGTCTGACATGAGATTATATATCAACCGTGATTCATACTTACCATAGTCTGAGATGGTGCATGCATTGGCCAGTGACAGCAACATGTCCAGCATGGATACAGCATCAGAGAGCTTGTAAAGGCAGTGAATGTGCTCATGGACAGTGCTCAGCAGTTGACATATCACCCTGTGTGGAAACAGGTTAGATGCTGCAAAGCACTGGAGGAAAAAAATATCTAACAAACAGCAACCTCTAGTGGACATGACGTAGCACAAAATACATTGATCTAAATCAACTGTTAATGAGATGAAAACTTGCTTAGATGGAGAAATGTACAAACTTGCAGTGCCCCCCTTTTAATGAATGAGTTGACTAATTGGTTGTTAAAGTCTTTGTCAGCTAAGACATTATTTTTGTGGCCTTTTATCTGGGAATTCAGTCATTACAGTAAAATAGTAGTCACATCTTTGGTATCAAAACAATATTTTAAGATAAGCTTTGAAGGCACACTTTTGCATAATCATATTCATCTGTGGAATGAAAAGAATTCCAAAGAAACAATTCGACAGATTAAATCAACTAATTACCCAAAGAAATCCCATGATTACTCAGCAAAAAACCTCTTTAGTCAAGGACAGCCCTTGTACAAAGCAACCTTTTTTTCAGTATTTAGTACTGTGTAATCAAGTGCATAAAACACATTGCTATGCATGTTTGTAAGTCATAGGATTGTTATTTCCTCACACATAGGACATGTGAAAGATCTCCCTCAGGGCCTCATCACAGCGGTCATTCATCTTCATCAAGTCTGCAGTAGTGAAGCCATAGTTGTTCCTGTGCTTGGTTACCTGAGGAGGAAGATATTGAAATCCAGCTTTCATTTTAACTTTATTTAACTTCCTTCATTCATAGCTGATGTTGAGTTATCCTGTTTTCTTTTCTTAATTAGTCTGATAGCTTGCAATGTTCTTACCACCCCTGCCTTTAGTGGACTATACCTTGATAAACTCTGAGGGGAGTTTCCCTTCAGGCAAGACCACTCCTTCAAGCCTCATCTGGATGAAGAAACCTCGAGCTGAGTTGAAGCTGGTACGTATTGGCAAACCATATTTCTCCCCCATCTGGTTCACTAGCCCTGTGAAACAGAATGCCACTCAGCTTTGTGGTATAAATATTTAATGCAAACATTGTAAACCGAAGTTATGAACTGAACAGCCAGAACAAACACCTGCAATGTCGTCCACTATCTCGGTGTAAGCTCTGCGTGCAATGTCGAGGAACTCATTGATGTTGGGGCGGACAGCATAACACTTCTGGGTGCGCATGTTGAGACTCCCCTTCAGGTAGGTGGTGTCATCATTAATCACTGTCTTGATCTGCTCGAGGATCATGTCAAACCTGAGGGGGACACAAATATATACTGTACAGTGGAAGAAGTCTGTAGACAGCACACAACAGTACATCTTACACAAGCATAAGGCTAAGTACCTGTTGTCTTCCAGTGAGGTGCTATAGGCCTTGAGCAGAGCTGTCTTGCAGTTCTTCAACACCATCTGTTCATCAAGTATAATGCTTAAATGATTTACTATATGACTTGTTACTAAATAGCAATACTTAGTGTTTTTTGTGGGGTTAAAAGCTTAATTATAATTCCAACACAAAAGTTGTAGGAGTCATTTAAACTCATTTTATGCATATAAACAAACACAGACCCTTAAGCGTGGCACCAGATCCAATGTGTGTTTCAGTTGAATGACATGTGTAATTTTTGCTTCAGCAACTTGAACCTGTAGAAACACAGTAACAGTACTGAAAACTGCATGAAAAGACAAAGACATACCAACATTTCACATGTGTATGTGCAATTTCTGGCATTTAGTTAAGCATTTTAAAACACACACAAGAATCCACTTCATGAAAAGACATTCCATTGCAGTGTAACCTTCCAATACAATCATGGGCAATGAAAGTACTGAACGTACCGTTTCTTGTTTTGGGATTTGGACCAGAACAGAGAGCAGCTGGTCAATGTCAAGGAAGTGGCCTATGGCTGAAGAGTGCAAAAGAACATATATTCAATTACTGTGCTACACTCTCAGTATGTACAATATGTAACATGAGTTTAAAAACGTTCTTATTGCTGACCATTCTTCAGGCCAAAGAAGAGCTCCTCATCCTGCAGCAGCTCTTGTATGGTGTCCAAGCGTATGTTAATGGTGTCCACATCAACCAGAGGCTCCAGAATATTGGAGCGCAACCTTCTAGCACCACCAGGTGTTTTAGTGTGGTTAAGTACACCTAAAAGACTATGTTCGCTCCTATACTCAGATAAGCAGAGACAGACAGACTTAATACCTGTGATTATACAAGCACTACAACATACAAAGATATTACTATTATAGTCTGGCCCTCTTACCTGTGGTCTCTATTATTGACCACCAACTCCAAGTTAGAAGCAGATGCTGAGTCAATCATTGCCGTCTGTTCGCTCCCTTTAAAGCTCACTTTGAGAGACTTGGCAGCATAGACAGAGTTCTGGATGAACTCTAAATATTTCAGCAAAGCAGCTGCTGCTGCTAGGCAGTAGTACCTGAACAAATCACAACATTTGGTGATAAAAAAAATATAGTGTTATAGTATAGCAATTTCTATACATTATTGTACTCAGTGGCGTACTTAGCTTGCACTTCCATGATGACAGTGCCAAATTCTGGAGCACACAGCTGCTGAATGTACTCCAGTCCTTTCCTCTCATTAAAGTACTTCCTTTGGATAGCAGTGAAAGCTACTCCCTGACCAATAATAATAAAATGCACATATTACTTCACTCTAATAGTTAACAAGAACACAGTGTGCCATAGGTGAGACACCACATACTGTATAAAGTTCATAGTAGTGCTAACCAAGATTGAATGAATCAGCTACTCTCTGCTTTAAAGGTCCAGTGTGTAGGATTTAGTGGCATCTAGCTGTGCAGTTGCAGATCACGGCTCACTTGCTTCACCGTCCCCTTCCAAGCATGAGGTAGAAACTACGGAGGCTGCAGAACACACAAAACCTAGAGACAGTTTTGCGTTAAACTGTTCTGGGCTACTGTAGAAAATGGCAGTTCAACATGGTGGTCCCACAGGAGGTGACCTAAATAAAAATGGCTCATTCTAAAGTAACAAAAACACAACAGTTCTTATTTTCCAGTAATATAATGTACGCACACTAATGAAAACATAACGATATAATTTCTGCCAATAGAATCTCCTAAATGTTACACACTGGACCTTTGAAAGTGGTTATTTGTTTGTATGCATTGTGTGTTTTACTTATAACATCTATTCTGCATTGGTACCGGGAAGTTCTCTGTGATGAGGTTGAACAATTTTGTCCCTTTCCCCTTCTCACTGGACGTGTCTGGCATCAGTATTTCCAGCGGCACCAAGATGTGAATCTTGGTTATGACCTTCAGAACAATAATACATGATTGAGACAGAAGTTCCCCCTATTTCAGAGTGTGGCTATGATTAACAGTCAATCAAGCATGAAGATTATAGCTTTAGACAATGCGCGGGTTACCTTGGCATATGTCCCAGTGTCTGCAAACTGAGAGAGTACAAGCTCTGGACATTTCAAGTTGAGACTAGCCATGCCAATCTCTCCCCTGGCCAAACCGCGGCCCTCAACTACTGCCACAATCACAGATGCACCGGAGGTTGTGGTCGCAGAGGAGCAACTTGTTGCTGCAAAAACAGAGAAATCAGAATGAGAAACACAGCTTAAGCCATGTTGATACACACTAGAACAGTTAGGGCTGGAGTACCGCTGTGATCATTCAGCAGTGTCGATGCAGGATGTGACCCCACAGTTCTCCTGAGTACTGGTGTTCCTCCGTGGCTGCGGATGGAGGAGCTGTCCGTGGTAGTCATGAGGAGTGATGTATTTGTCCTGCCCAACCTGACGCTGTGATGGAGCTGAGCTATGCCAAGACAAAATATGAAGAAATGGTCCGTGTCAAAAGACAAGGTTTATAGTCTTACAAATGTGGCCCCACAGTGCTTCTATGACCCACTATTCAAATAGACAATTTAATATCGAAAATGTTATTTTTATAATAGTTACTGTCTCTAACTTCATTGTGTGTAGCCCCACCATTGACTCTATATATAAGGGCCCCACCTTATACATACTGTCACTGGGCCCCACCCCTGCTGGAGAAGGTCAAAGATAACGTTACTAGTGTTAGCTTAAACTATCCCTAAGATTACCAGAGGCCATTGGGGGGTGTGATGGACCATGGCTGGAGCTCGTACTGCCTTCATCTAAACTTTGGTAGGATGAATTGGAGGAAGCTGATGCGGGACCGTACGAGGTAGTTTCATTGGGTCCGCTCCTGTCCATTGGGGACACCCCCCCGAGCTGTCCGCCTTCTGGGGTGTCACCGCCGGTTGTTACCTCCTCCGTGCTGCTGCGGAACATTTTAAAACCTCGCAAAGGCAGGTTAATGGACGTATACTACCAAACGTATGTGTCCATCTGTAAAAGTCCGTGAATATGTTAACGTTAGTTAGTTAAAGCTGAGAAGGGCCTCGGTGAAATGTAAAGGAGTCGCACAGGAAGCTAACGTTAGCTACAGAAAACCGCCACACAGAACGAGTGAAATTTGCGCGCGACTATGAGAACGTCGATCCTTACGTCCGCAGCAATCATCTGCGCATGTCTGTCACACTTGTATGTTAAAATATTGGTTTTATAGTCGTAGTCGTTAATAAGAAAACAATTGTGGTTCCAAGCAGAAAAATGGAGGTGCTGGGCGATAAATGGTGCGTAGATTTATTGATTGGTTGATTCTGGGCCCCCAACAACCCCCTTTGTCTATGGTGCATGTAATAATTACCCCTTTCCCTCAAGTAGGGAGCTGCACCTTACTGCTCATTTTGAAAATCTTGGAGATCCTACATAACACTATAAAAGGTAAAAAAGATATTTAGATAACATAATTGCTAAAGACTAAAGGTGTGTTTGTGCCCTTTCCATAGATAATGAGCTTATATGCTTTATAAATAAGAAGCTTTACGCCTGAATAACATAATGTCAGACTAGTCTCAGGAGACTCATATTAATAACCATATGTTAACCCTGTTTTTTTGTATTTGCCAGATTGGGGTCCCTGTTTGACAAACAGAGACCATGGATGAAATTAAAAAAAACTTACTGGTGATAAATGCCTGAAGGAGGCACAGAGACAGAGACAGGGGAATGTTGAAAAGAATAATGAATACAGTGAAAATTTGTGTGTAGTGTATGATTCAATTTGGATGATTGATGTAGTTACCTTTTGGGATGTATGAGTAGACAAAATAATGAAATAGCTTAAACAGTTGGTAGATTTATGAAGCAAACTTCAAACCACCAATAAAACTGTATCAGTTGACATAATGCAATGCTTATGTCAGAAAGAAATACACAATATCCAGTCATATAACAATTGACCAAAGGCTAAACTAATTGAATGTACTGAATGTATCCTCAGTAAAACAATTGCCATGTTTTTTTTTTTTTGTGATTGTTTAGATGTCTTTATTATTTGTAGTTGCCAGTACAACATAATATTAGAATGTAAGCTATTTTAAATTGTATTGTAGAAGCTATCTTTGCTCCTTTACTTTCATCTGTCAAGGAAAAATCAGACATTTAACCCAGAGTTTGTTTTGTCCAGAAGAGGAACTAACAAGAGTATATAAGCATCATGTTTTATTCTGAAGAAGTGTAGCCTCTGGCAGACTTTTTTCTGAAAATACTTTATGAATTGTTGATTTGACAAAAAATAATGTACATCTAATTGCTGTTTTACAGTACAGCTAAAGGCCTGGCCATGTCAATGAATAACTGAATTCTTAAATATTATTATTTTCAAGTTTTCTACTCAATCTGTCTTTTATTCTGGAAAAACCATCCCGGAAGTTCTCTCCTTGTTCCTGCCGCGGCCAACATGGCGGCCGACGCTGATGACAGTCGTTATTTTGTGAGAGAAATTGAAAAAAACGACGGTTGCACCTTAAAAGTGAAACAGTGCTATCTGGGAGATGTTGGCTGTGTTGTCTGGGATGCAGCCATCGTCCTAGCAAAATATTTAGAGACGAAACAGTTTTATGATCCGTCCTCGGGAGTGAACCTGTGGGCTGGCAGGAGTGTGCTGGAGTTAGGAGCTGGGACCGGAGTTGTTGGTCTCATGGCTGCAACACTGGGGTGAGATCACTGGTTAGTTTGTCACATATTACTCTGTCGTTTAAACATTAATATACATGTTCTTGTATCACCAAACGGGTTCCAGTTTAACGACTGGTTAGCTTGTACTCCTTTGCTTTGTAGTGGCTGGCATTGACACCCTTTTGTTGATTAAAACTAATAACATAACGCTAAAAATATGTGTATTAAATCCCATAGAGCTCAAGTTACTGTGACAGACCTGGAGGACTTGCAGACCCTCCTGTTGGTGAACGTCCAGGACAACCGGGCACTTATCAGTAGTGGCTCAATTACTGTCAAGGTACTGAAATGGTTTGTACTTATATTTTGTTTTTTATACATGCTATTATTGGATTGGATTATCATATATCCAAGCTGCATGTTCAAGGTATTTTAAGACATGTCCACATGCTAACAGTTTGATTTTCTTCTCTCCTTAAAGGGGTGAAGATGTGTCTGAGTTCATGCCTCACCCACATTATGTCCTTATGGCAGACTGCATCTATTATGAGCAGGTAATTTACTATAGTGCTCTGCTTAGGCCTTTCAGTCGAAACATGACCGTTTGCAGGAATTGACTTGACCCTGTGTGACTTATCATTTCTTTCCCACAGTCTATTGTTCCACTGGTGGAGAGCCTGAAGCTGCTCTCTGGACCGGAGACCTGCATTATTTGCTGCTACGAGCAACGCACCGAGGGCGTCAACCCAAAAGTGGAACAGCAGTTTTTTGAGGTAAGAACCCAATTGTACGTTCCATTTGTAAATGCTAAAAAAAAACAAAAAAACAAAAAACTGTGAGTCATGGTGGTCTTCTGTGTCTTTTAGTTGCTGCAACAAAACTTCAGCTGTGAGAAGATCCCATCAGACAAGCAAGACCCAGAGTTCAGTAGTCCAGACATCCACATCCTGCATATTCGAAGAAAAGTCTGAGTTTGTGTCGTGCAGTTGCGCACGCAGTAATCAGAGTTCCACCCTTATGTCGCATGAAAATCGGACTGTGAAACAGAAAATGTAAAGTCTGTACCTGTATGTGTGGAATATCCATGTATCTTCATTTCTGCACTTTTTACACTTTTTTTATGAAAAATATTTTCTCACACAACATTGTCCTGGTGTGTGATTGGAGTATAAAAATATTTAAAAAGTGAACCCGTGTGTGTGTGTGTGTGTGTGTGTGTGTGGGTTTTTTTAAAATGCACTCTATATCAAGGTTAGTTAATATCAGCAGTTTAATTCTGTGTAATTGTAGGGCTGGGAAGGTAGATGGCAGACGAGCGCAAGCACAGACATGACAGACTGCTAATCTTCAACAACACTGGTTGTTTAAGCTAAAGAGGTGACAGACAAAGACAAGAGAAGGTACTGAACCATTGTGTACATTTGGATGTTTCAGTTTGAGGATTAGCCTTGCAAATGTTTGTGTTTGTATGCAAAACACTGAACGTTTTTAGCTCAGAAAACTGCAAGCAACATGAGACTTGATTTTACTTTTGCTTTTGCTCATGAGAACTGCCCTATTTTCTGCGGTGCTTGATTAGACAGACAGTGTGGTTAGTTGTTACACAAGGATAATACGTGCAATCATATACATGTAGGTAGGTCACATGTATGTATTTCCTGAGACCCCCCCCCACAGAACTGAGCACCTATTGATGGCCATAAGTAGCTGTCAAGAGGTTGTTTTTTTTTTTTACAGTTTAAAGTCATTTCTAGGATTTATTTTAAATTGTGAATGAATGTAAATTCAGTCATTGCCCATTTAGAGCAGTAGGGGGCAATAGTTGCTTAAAATCCACAACAAAACATTCTACATTAGTAGAACTTGAGAGAGGTGGGGAAATAAATCAGGACTAAATTATTATTAAGTCACATGTTTTATCTTTATGTAGCTTGCCCATTTTTTAAAACAGAAGCCAACACAGTGTATGTCAGCTCCCCTGAAAGCTTTTTCCCTCCATGCAAGGGGAATTCCACACCAAGCCCCAGATAAGCAGGAAGATTACGGCTCTTTTTCAAGCATAAACCATGAAGTACGCCCTGTACTCCCACAGGCATGCAGGGGCCCCTCACAGCCTTTCATGCTGCTCTCTGTTTACACAGTGGAGCTGTAGTGTAATGAGCAGGGTGGCCTCCAACGCTCAAACCAAATAAAAATGTTAATGCTCAAGTTGACAGGGTGGGGTTCACGCCGAAGGTCCCATTAAGTAATCAGATCACTTTATAGAATAATACAATGAACCAAGTATGATTATGCATTAATAAGAGGCTCCTCATGCTCATCCTTGTATTTCTCTTGGGATCCAGGAGTGCAAAGCTAACCTGTTTTCCTGGAATTCGCTGATACTGTAAGGCAGGAACATCTGTGATGGCACAGACCCGTGAATATTCCCGAATGTAATGGTTAGATTAGAATAATACAGTTTTCAGCAGATGTTTTAGCTTTGTGTAGTGAGTGAGTTAATTCACACTAAATCACCACTTAGATACACTGTTAACAACTGTTTGTGCTCTTCTGAAAATGCACATACATGTAGAAACCCAACCCTTCCTGTTCCAAGTAATAATTCTTTATTAACCAGTAACCCAGCTGTTATTGTGCAATGATTAAAATGTGTTTACGATGGAGAAAAAACGGAGGTGTGGTTGGGTTGAATCATAGTTTGACAATTTGACCTCTGAATCCCTGTAGGCCTGGTCGATGATACAGGCCCATCACAAGAGGAATAGAGTGAGATTAATTGCCTCCTATTTTTTTTTTTACAGTTACTATAAATTACTACAGCAGATCATTTAAGTTAATCACTCCCTGTGGCCTTCTACTGCCCTCACATATCTGCTTGGGGCAGCTGGACTGCTACAATCAGAATCAGGCTACTATTGAGGTCTCCTTTGGCTTTGACCAGGGTATGTTCAGCTAATTAATTTGACTCACAGCTGGTATTAAGTCCATGTCCCCGCAGTGCGCCGGGGACAGGACCCAGAGGGGTTATTGGGAAGATTAGAGGGGTAGAGGGGAGCTTCACTATTCTGTGTCAACATTTCATCCCCCTGCCCACCCATAGCTCTCTCTGTCAAATCATTTAGAATCTATTTTCCAGTCTCTCTAGTGTTCTCTCCTCCTTAAATGTTAACCGAAAATGATTAAAATAATGTAGTTAGAGTCTTCTTGTGGTTGGCTAATTAGGCTGGCACTACAGGGGAATACAGGGAGGCTCACAGTAAATGAGGACAGCCCACAGTGAAGCAGTGGTGTCTCTAATGTGTTGGTATCATATACACATTACAGTTGATTCTGGTGACCGTACACATTCATTACTGAACATGTGGACTATAGGCTGCATGCACCAGGACAGAATGGGGGCATTTTCTGCCAACAGATGGTGCTAT